CTTTACACCCTTAGTGCACATGTATTGTGTGCATAAAGCAGGACACAGCCTCCTGAGCTAGCACCAACACAATGTGTGTCCATCAGAAGGGAGCCATGCCACACACATGTCCTGACGCAGCACCGCATCAGGTTATGGAAATCCATCTTATGGGGAAAGTTTATTGAATCACCTGGCAGGTACCAGTCAAGCTCTAGTTCCAGTGCTGGTACAGCCTCAACTAGTAAAGATGGCTCTGTTTGTGCTTGATTCCCCTGTCTCATTAGAGAAGATTAAATTAGAAATGAATTATTTATGTTTAAAGTTCACAAAATGATGTTTTAATTGAATGTCAACCTGAGCTCTTGAGTGCTTAAGGCACTCTTGAAATAACATGCTCAAATTTTCATACTAAAGCTTTAAAACAATATCCTTTATAATACTAACTGACAATGTGTAAGTGAAAATTGTCCACTGGCAAAAGCTAAACTTTACATGTTTGTGTATCAAATAATTTTTCATTCATATTCATTCTTTGCCCTTTCTAATTAACATGGTAAGAATTTTAAGTCCTAAAACTTAATGTGCCTTTCCTTTAAAATATATATTCTTAAATACTCACCAGAACTGCCAAACTTACAGATACAAGTTTAAGAAATGTATCTTAATTACCTGATCCATGGGCAAGGAGAGGATAAAACCTGCAATTCTTCACAGTAAATGACCTCAGTTCCTAAAGCAGATCATTAGAAACCAAGGAGACTCAACTGCTCAATTATTAAATAGTTTTAGTGCCATCTGATAAAAATTACCTTGTGTGTTTAAGCTCCAATAAAATAAACCTCCTTGTCCCTCAGCACTGAAGAAATAGCACCTGAAACTTACCCATATTAGCATAAGAAGTGGTTTAAGGGTGACCCAAGTGCCTGGCATCTTCCAGGCTCCTAAGCTGCTGCTCCTAAGTTGCTGTTAATCAGTCACTATGAGTGATGAGCGTTCAGGATTTCTGGTCTGTACAGATCTGCGCATCTTTCCCAAGAGACAAAATATAAGCCAAGAGCAGGAAAACATTTTTAAGAAGCCAAATACAGGACTCCTAGTACACTGAGGTAACAGATGCACAGAAGCAAAGTGGGTTTTAATCTTGGCCTTGAACCAAAAGCTTTGCCGTGTGGAATACAGACCAAAATGGAAATTCCATCCACTTGTTTGTTGCACATGTGGTTGACACAGAAATGCCCACATGATTTTAAGCATTAAACATAGCTGGACATATAAGTGAGAGATAAGTATTTACTTGCCTATGAATGTCTAAAATTATGACTTTTCATTTGCCACTTACTGTTACACAGATTGTTCTGAATTCATTAGTTGTGTAACTACAAAGCCTGAATCTCCAATTTTAAATTCACTATGAAAGGCAGTGTGCCAACACAGAATAAGGTGAGGCCTTATTCTCATGGAAACACAAAACTCAGCTAGGAAAGAAACTGCCCAGGTAGACACAGCAAGCAGTGGCAGGAGATTCAGATAACTTTCCCAAATGTCCTATCCCACCATGCCACCATCAATCAAAAATCTTTAATATTTGTAATTTTAAAATCATTTTCCTTTTCAAAATGACTGTAGAACACATTTTAGGAATGTCAGTTTTTCACAGTGGTTGTTTTTCTTACAATAAATATACAGAAAAGCTAGAGTTACCTGAGAAATCCGGTCATATAGACTTAACTATTCCTTCTGTCAGATATTCTACATTAAAAATTGGAGTGTTTGGTTTATTTCACAAAGAAGTTGTAAAATGACTAATTTAGATTAGAAAGGACCCCAGGCATCCTACTTCACCCAGGGCTGACTTCAATGACATGTCTTGTTGCAGAAAAAATTGGAAAACTTTGATAAAGATCCTGCAACCTCTCTGGGCCCCCATTCAGCACCTCATTGCTGTCATTGTGATGGAAGTTCTATTTAAGTCCAACTAAATCACTCTGGAGAGCCTACACTCAGTTGCACAACAGGTATTCCTTTGTTCTCAATAGTTTGGATTTTACTTTCTGTAAATAGAAATCCCACACAACACATTTCCCAGAAAGAAACTGACCACATAGCATTTGAATGAATTTCCTTTCACATAGAATATTTTTAATTACCTTCTTGAATTCTCCTGTCCTTTGATATTCACACAGCATCATGTCAAAGAAAATTGGGATTGTGGCTTTTTGTAGTTCAACTTCTGGAATAAGAGTCATTTCCAAGATGGGGCCAACCATCCCCGGAATAAAGCAAATTTTATTGTGGCCTGAAACGGAAACACAAATTGGGTATTTGAGAGGAGAGGAAAGAAAAAAAAACCCCTCTCTTTTAGGAATACATTTAGGACATGCAATCATTTAAATCAATGGCTTAAACCACCTGTGTTGGTAAAATCTTACAACTTAGTCATTTATCTCTATTCCCTGTCAGAAGCTGAAAGCATATTTAATGGGTACAGCCTCAGCCTAAGACACCAGAACTGAGTGCAAACTGAGTGCAAAAGTGTACACCACTGAGCTGGCATTTCCTGTGACCATGTCTGTTTTTCAGCTTTTGGCATCGCCTTTTAAATACACAGAGAAGAAAATAATAAAAAACCCTAAGAATACCCCAAACTGCATCAGTAGAAGAGTGCCACAGGGTAATGCCACATGGTGTAACATTTCTAGCTTATGAAGGGGAAAAACATGACTTGTTTCCATTTCTGAATAGCATCAAACTTTGCAACCAATAACTCAAACCAACCAGTGCAACAAACATTGCAAGCAACAACAGAAACACTATCCACAGAACTCGGCCTTTAAACCCAAACCAAATCATCTTGTGGCACAGCTGTTATATCAGCTGCCCAAAGACATCCAAACCTGCAAACAACTCAACCAGGTCCAAGATATTCTTCAAATGCGCCTTGTTTGCTGGGGAAGAAAAACATTTGATATGTGGAGCAGACCACCAGCAAAATCCCCTGACCTGTGTAAGAGTGTCAATACTGCCCAACACATGTAAGAAGATAAAAATATTGTCATAAACAAATGTGTCTGATCTTTTGTTCCATAGCTGAAAAGTATTGTGATTTTCCTCTCACATGGGTGCCACACTCATGTAAATCTAACCACAACTGAATAACAGTTTATGCAACATTAGTTTCAATTCCACTCATGTTGATTAAATCATTATTAATCCTTGTTAAATCAGTAACATCAAGTAAGGTTTAAAAGAATCTTATGGAGACTGAATAGCTTCCAATGCCTATATGTATTAGACATTTCTGGTCTGCAGTTTTCGACAGCCACAGGAATTCATGCATTACATAGCTATCCATTCATCTCCAGAATCTTTACTTTACCAAACAATCCTCCGAGTAGAAAAGAGAAACTTTGAGCTAAATAACAGCAGTGCTATTGCTTGACCCAGAGACCAATCCTACACTTAAACCCAAAAGAGCTTAGTACACAGCTTTAAATAAGCAAACACATAAATAAAATTTAAAAATATAAAAAGGCTTCTTGGAGACTATCCAGCCATCAGCAACTATTATTTCCACTGCAGGAATCAAGAGCAACATCTCAAACCACACAGTGACTGAAATGGGCAGAGGAAGACAGTGCCCCAGAAAACAGGGCAGATCTTAATTTGAAAGGCACTTTGAAGGTCACAGAATGAGATTCTCTGACATGCATTTGCCTGTTTCAAGCCTACTGTACATGTACCCCTCAACTGTGATTTATAAAGACACTCAACTGCTTGTCAGAATGCAGATTCCTTTTTGTTAAAGCCACAGAAGCAGCATGAAAATTATAGAAAATAAATAGAAGGGGCATTTAGTCTTAAGTGAGAATTATTGCCTATTAGTTTGAAACATTTCTCAATCTCTATGCCTCACTTTTCCCATTAGGAATGTAAGACATTATTCAAATAAATTAATAATGCATGTGGATATTAGAAAACAATTTTTGGTCTTCACCATTCTGCTAGACAGAACTGTTAAAGGCCTTTAAATTTTTATAATACAATTGTGTTTGTTGGTTTTAATATGGACTCTCAGATCCAGCCTGAGGAGGATGCAAACAGCAAATCTCAAATACACATAAGAGGAAGAGTGCTACTGCAGGATTTGTTGTACTTTGTTGTAAAATGAAAACTTGAAAGTTTATTTTAAGAAACAGATGTTAATGGTTTAAGATTCATTTGAATGGTTCCAGAATTCATTTGAAAACAATTAATTTGAAATTTACACCTACCAGTAGTGAAGAGGACAGTGGTGTTAAACTAGGAAATTAATGACTGTGCTTTCGCAGATTGGAGAGTTCACCAATTAATCACCAAAAGTATCACAGCCTTTAAAATCTTGACTATGTCTTTTTGAAACATCAGAGCACACCAATGCATTAAAAATGATTTTATAATAAGAAATACTAGAAGAAGAAAATAAGAAAGGAAAGACTGGAAGGGGGATATATCACCAGAAGTAGCATGTGCAAGGCTCAAATCTCCAGGCAAGCACTGATACACCTGGGAAACGAGAATGTTTATAGAGGTCATAAAGAATTTTCATATGTCCTAACAGGAGAACTTCGCAAAAATTACACATTTGGCTTGCATTTTAAAGTATCATCATAACTGTCTTCATTGTATGTTTCAGAGAACCTCTATTGTACATATATTCATATAACAACAGATTGCTGTTCCCTTCACCATCAACTGTCAAAGGAGCAGCAGCAGAACAAGGCTGTACAACAAATGTAAAAACATTTTGGCATTTTAATGCAGCAGATTGCAATTCTGAGCCAACTAATTCTTGGAACTGTAGATTCACACTGAGACTTCTTGGGGAAAATTTATCTTGTCTCTGTTTCAGCCAAATAATGTTTCTGAAATCTGAGAGCAGGTTGTGAGGTCTCTTAGGAATAAACAATGGGCAGTAGTCAGACAGTATCTCATGTCAGTCCCAAGCTTAATCACAGGAATAAGAACATATGTAAGTTCAAATAGCAAAACTATTTACAGAAGCCCTTCATGTCAGGTAGATGACAGTGAGGAAGACAATATGCTCTGAGTTCAGTTAAGTCCATTTGCTACTCACCAAGTTTGTACCACATGTCACGGATAGCAAAGCCAATTAAACATCTCATATCTCCATATCTAGGGGAAAAAAAGAAATATGAAAGGTATTTTTATCGTTATCCTAATTTTGCTACAAAATTGAAGACATAAGCTAAAGTATCAGTTTTGCTTACTTGTTCTGGATTTTGCTGTACTTTGCGTGGGAAAAGTTTTCTAGCTGTAGTGAATCTTGGGTAATAAAAGCCACAGCCAAATGAAAGTAGTTGTTCCACAGCTGTAAATTGAATACAAGGAAATAATAATAGTTTTGAGAAAAGCGGGAATCATATTAAACATAATGCTGAATAATTTATGGAACCAAATGATGCAAGCAATATGAGATTGTTATATTATGCAAAGATGTACATCATCAGTATTATGCAATTAGCTGGAAAGCAAGAAAGATGCATTTTAATGACCACTACTACAGATTTGCTCTTAATAACACAGCAGCTGAATAAATATTGCTAAAAAAAAGATTCACAGGAGATTCATTAGCTAACGACATTAAGCCATGAACCATAGCAGGCCTAGTGAAATACATTACATGCCAGTGAATCTTAACAAGATGGAGTTAAAGGCATCCAATATAATTACACTGTATTTCAAAACTACTTCAAAAGGCTTCTCTTTGGATTCAACAACCATTTCTGTGAAGTTCCAATATATTTTGTTAAGAGCTCTCTACATGAAACGAGGACAAAATACATCCCTAAATAACTACGAATAGTACTAATAGTGAGGCATGTACTTGAACTAGAAGGCAAACCCTTCTATTTCCAGTGCACAATGCTTGGCTTCTAAAGCAAATCACTTGTTTGCCAGACAAACAAAATGAGGTACTTCTCTTATATGCTAGAGATGGAGAGAAGAAAAAAGACACTTCACTAGGAAACACAAATTCAAGGAAGTAAAGACTATTTTCAGAAGCTTCTATGCAATCAGCAATGACGTTAGACACTTAAAAACAGCGGCATCTAAAAATATGCATGGTGGGTATCAGTGAGATGGGAGGAAGGCAGTGGCAAATGCATTCAGTGGTAAATGAAAGGATGGAAACAAAACATATAACATTATTACTCCAGCTCGGGAACCCTAGAATAGCCTAGAAATGTTTAACCAAAACCATAAATAACCTCTGTCTTTTATAACCTGGGAAACTTGGGCACAAATAACCAGCAAAAATAGATACCAACACACACACACACGAGTGTGCACGCACACACAGAGACACATTTTCCATAGTAGGCAAGATTTTCAAACACACTCTACAATGTGAAGATCCTGCATTTAATTCATTCCTCACTTTGAGGCCCAACTAAAGCTCTCCCAAGCAGACTTGCTCATGTAAAAGCCCTGACGAGGGCTATGCCAATCCAAAAGTGATTAGAGTCCAGAAAGCAGTTATCCCGGTGCTGCCAGCCAGCTGGAAGTGGCATGGCACTGGAGACAGCAGTGACTGGTGTGTATTGCACCATTCAAAGTTGCTCTGATTGCACCCAAACCAGCCACAGCCTTATTAAAAACTATGTTTCAGTATTAGCAGCTATTTTACCCCCTTAATTCAAACATTTAAATTACATTCATATCTAGTTTATGACAGTACACTAATAGTACATACTAATTCAGAGCCTTCTTCCCCCAGGAAAAGTATTATTTATGCCCTTAAAGGCTGGTGTGTCGTGTCCCCCTCCCCCATCAAACATTTTAAAAGATTCATTTGATCAATATAGAGTTTTCAGTCCCTTGAGAAGCCGTGTTTATTGACATGTAGGGAATGTTCTTTGCAGGAAAATGGAAAATTTCTTAGAGCATTCTAGACTGTGGGGAGAAAAATGAAACCTATTGCTACAGCTAATGGTCTATTTAGTCACCTAATAGCTCCAAGTTCAATGCCACCTTTGCCAGAGACACACCCTAAGGACTCAATATCTGTATACAGAAAATATGTTTTCTTTTGTCCTCACAGTACCCTGTGATGGCTGAAAAACAACAATCCGTTACATTTCAGTAGCATATTCAAATTATGGACTTGCAAGCTTTTAAGCACCAAAACTCACTTTAAATCCTTGGAGGCAAAATAGTCTCTCAAAAGTAGAAATTGGCAAAAGCTGAAAGAAACATTTTTTATAAAATGCAAAAAATATGCATATGAGACCTGTTCTGTTTATTCAGGCCTGCGATAACATTCCAAGCTGGTCTGCATGTGAACACCTACTTATCCAGCATGCAGTGGGCTGAAGTGATGTAGCAGAGTGAGAGGACCAGAGCTCCCGTGCTCTGGTTTGTGTGACACCTGTGCTTTGCTTGCTTCTTGACATGAACCCCAGTGCTGAGCTGTCAGCTAGGGACAGAGTGCTGGAGACAGAGCGAGAGCTGAGAAGTGACCTGTCTCTGTCATTAGGTATCAGTTGTTCACTGCAAACATGTGCTGAGATGCAGCAGGCGACAGCAGCAGCGCAGGCTGCCTTAGTGCATTATACCATTGCGGAACATGGCAACTACATTGCCTGAGTATGGTGTAACCACGCGTGCTGAGGGCCTCAGATCCGTTTCCCTCTATACAGGGCTAAGGGAATTTAGAAGAAAAGGATCTCTCAATCCTGTGGGTTTTTTTTTCCCCCTAGAAATCAATAGGTGCCTCCCACCTAGAAAATGTGACAGCTGCTCCACTGGGAAATGTGGAGTTAATTTAGTAAGAAATTCCTATCCATTGCACAAAGAGGAAGAGATCTGGATGATTTTCAGGATAACTACCACAGGTAACGCCTGCTGCCTTCTCCTTCAGACACCCCTCTGAAAGCAAAGTCTCTACTGCATGACTGCCTATTCTTTAGCCCCTGCTTTCCCTAAAAAAAGTCCCTACAGACCTCTGTGCTCAATTCTTTTTGATAATTCAGGAGAAACTTGAAGTCCTATGAGACTGTTGAATTGCTGACAAATTACTGCAGATCCTAAATGTACTCTGGCATTTCATAAAAGAGACTAGATGACAGTATCAAGTTCCTTTTGGATTTTTTTTCTCTTTAAATATTATGGTGAAATCAAGTTCAGCCCCTTGAGAACAGCAGACAAAACATTTCAGATAGATACTGGTTCATTACTTGGATTTTGTAAGATAAATGACACTTAAACTTTTGGGCTGTATGCAGAATTGCATGTAGTTACTAAGCTATTGAGGTAGATTAGCTAGAAATAACATTTTGAATCTTTGAATAGCATTTATAAGAAATGATCTATTGATTTCTAGGATGGTTGTTTCACATTCTCAATATGTGATGATTTTACCTCAGTAATGTTCTCTTTCACACACTGGAATACATTTCTTCATCACTTAAAACTAAACAGTTTAAAGGAAACTTCTATTTTTTACTATTTTTGTGAGCCTTTGAGTACAAACCATTTTAAACAAATGAAAAATGAATAGTCACTTATTTTTAAGAAACTGATTCATCGGATCAACCGCAGAGACTGACCTTCAGTCACACAGACAGCACATAGGCTGCATCATGCAGTCCTAACTTTCCAAATCAAAACTCATGAAAATTATTCTGCATTGTCTTTTACAGCATCACAGTAGAAAACCAGACACTGCTAAACAGAAGCATGAACGGAATGTGAAGACCAACATTCAGAATAACTCACCAACCGATAACCATAATAACTTCAGCAAAGTAAGCCTGGCTCTCTAAGAGGAGTCTTAACAAATGTAATTTTCAGAGTTACAACTCATTCATAAAACTCTGTAAGTTACAAGCACAATATTTAGTGTTTATTCCCATGTTATGCAGATTGGTTCATGACAGGTTTAGTGTTTGCTGTGAGGTCAAAGAGACTATTAAGCATCTCAGAGTAAAGAATTGAGAATCCTTTGGGACTTCTGCCAAAATTCCTTTGCATTGGTTATATACTTCAAAAGGAATGAACAAAGGTAGAAAATTTTCAGGTTAATGACACTAAGTTTACAGAAGCTCTGAAGAAACACAGCACATTATATAAACCAACAAAAGTTCATTTTCTTTTTAGTCTTTAAAGATTTTTGTGTCATAATCCCATTCTCTACAATTGGTTTTGTCATATGTTTCTTGCTTAATAATACAACTGAAGAAAAATACTTGCAAATAGTTTCTACTCCAGACATCTACCATTTCTAAACATGAAAAAGAAGCATTTTCTTTTAAATCAGAATGATGTTGTAATGGAATAGGGTCTATGCCTTTTATAATAAAATTATCTGGTAGAAATATAGGTAATTAGTATTAAATTATAATTGCTGTATCAGTACAGATTTAAAAACGTAACTCTTTCTAATGCCTTGTAAAAACAGTGCTAACAGAAGAGAAGGGTAGGAACAGGAATCAAGAGCACTGTATCTTCCACAGTAAAAACCCTACGATAGATAAGCCTGACCACAACAAAACAGTTTCTGTTTGTTCACTCTTCCCTGTCCCTAATATGTCAGAAGCTGCCACCTCCAATCAGAAACATTATAAAAGGAATGTTGCACAAAAACCTCATTTCAGTGAGTGAAGTGGCATTAAGCGCAGCAACAGCCACTGACTGCATGAGAGTGCTGGAGTGTGCGGTCGCTGCATGGGAGTGCTTCCTACACAGAGCAGGACTTTGAACCCTGACACCAGGAGCTGACAGTGACAACAGAGTGAAAATACTCTGTTCCCCATGACAAAGACAACTCCTTGCTAAGGACACAGATATCAGCAAAAAACAAAGCAACACCATCCCAGGTCTACATAGGTTCTACAAAGGTAAACATGCACACTGGAAAATGCAAATGAAACTTAAAAGCGAACCATTAAACATTGTTATCTTCCTTTTTCTGTTGATGGAAGACTGGCTTTCAGTTCAATCAAACTAACTAAAATTAAGATGAAAAAATCCACAACTTTCAAGTGGAAAAAGTGATTTCTGCAGGCACAAAAAGAAGAAATAAAACCTTCTTGTTCTGCATTCATAAAAATAGGGAAACTGTTGACAGTTAAGACATATCTCATAAATAGAAAGGTCATTTAATTATTGTATTTCTATATAACAACAAAGAAAATGTTAATTCACATTTGAACTTTTTTATTTCATACCTACAACTCTATATCCATATGGAGAGATAATATTTGTCTTCAAAATTGAACTATCCTCCAGTGTTTGCTTCCTTTAAAATCCTTGTGAATCAAATACATGGCAAATCAGCCAGCTAGATGGTCCTCAGTATAACATAGA